TCCTCTCATTTCTAAGTATCGAATTTCAAATTTTGAAAAGGAAAAAAAAGACTCAACAGCCTTCTCCGTCGGCGTCGGTGAGATTTCTCCGGTCGGGTTTTCCTTTTTGTATTTTTCATAAGAAACGTCATTTTCTTTACTCAAGACAGAGCAATGGCGTCTGCTAGACTGCTAGACGCACTGCCCAAAAGTCCAAAATATTCTTCCCCTGCACCTATAAATTACGGAATCAAGGTTGACAAAATGGTAATTTCGTTAATAATTCTTTTGGTATATATATTCCATTTATTTTATTGTTAATTAGGCTCTCGATCCCTGAGAGTCGCGAAGCCGAAACGACACGAGACGGTGGAGAGCACGGGGAAAATGATTACGGAGAAGAAGGCAATGCCGTTGTCCAGGCACCTGAAGAAATCAGAGACGTTCAAGGACACATGGGAGAATCAGGTGAACGTGGATCCGCTGGCTGAGCCGTCGCCGGTGGTGAAGAAATCGGAAACGTTCAAGGACCGGACCAATTTCCAGCTGTCACCGGCGCAAGTGAGCTCCTCCCTGGCTTTAGTACTGAAGCTGAGAAAGGAAACCTCGCTGAGTCAGGACGAGTTGAATTGGCGAGTGGAGGCATTTATGAAGAAGTTCAACGAGGAGATGAGGTTGCAGAGGCAGGAATCACTTAATCAATACAAGGAAATGTTTAACCGTGGAAGTCACTAAATTAACAAAGGGGAAATTATGTGCAAAAAAAAAAAAAAGAAAAAGGAAATTATTACTAATTTTTACTAGTATCATTTAGAGCGGTTAAAGAGTGTTTTGGAAAAAAAATATATATATATATATTAATTACAAAAAAAAAAGAAGGGAGGTAGGGGTGGGGGAGAACAGGAAATATGTAAATTAATTTTTGTAATGTTGTTTTCTCCGACGGTCTCATCGTTTAAGTTATTGAACAAAAAAAAATGATGTCTTACAAACTTTTTTCCATTTTTAACTGAGGGTGGATTTCATTAGCAGATGGGGTTTGAAGCTAGTAAGATGACAGAAATGTTTGTAAAGGAAGATGACAAGTAGAGGCTCTTTTGTTTCATATATCTGAATGAAATGATCTTTCTTGCTATTATTTCATTGATATACTTATTTAGTTACGATCTATATCACTTTAGGAGGGTCTCTTTACATTTAGAATGCTCGATACTTTTTTGAGTATAAAGAGAACAATATTGTGATCTCCTCCACTCCTCTGTTTTATTGATAATCGATCTTCCCCACTATTTACCACATAAAACTTTGTTAATTAACTAAAAAAATTATTTTACAATTCA